AGGGCCACAGGTCTGTAGTCATTAAGTCCTGTTATCTTGGGTTTCTTTGGGACGGGGATGATGGTGGAGCGTTTGAAGCAGGCAGGGACTTTGCACAGCTCCAGTGATCTGTTGAAGATCTGTGAGAAGATGGGGGCCAGCTGGTCAGCGCAGGTTTTCAGACAGGCTGGTGTCACATTGTCTGGGCCTGGTGCTTTTCTTCTCTTGTTCTTTCTGAAGACCTGGCGCACATCATCCTCACTGATCTGCAACGTAGGAGTGGGGGAGAGGGGGGTTACAGGAGGTGTTGATGGTTGTGTGGAGAGATGTTCAGAGCGGGTGTGGGGTGTTAGACTGGGAGTTTCAAATCTACAGTAAAACTCATTCAGGTCTTCAGCAAGTTGTTGATTGGCCTCAGTGCTGGGGGATGGTGTCTTGTAGTTGGTGATGTCCTTCAGGCCTTTCCACACTGATGCAGGCACCGATGCATCCCGAACAAGCCTTATGTCAAGTGATTTAAAAGTTAACGACCAAACGGATGTTTATAAAAGTTTACATTGCTGTTGTAGATGAAATATAACACAGATGACATTAAATAAATATTTTTTACCAGGTTAAATGTTGAATATTTGTAACTCAAACCTCCTTTTCTAAGCCTCTCTACCTAACCGCAGGTCGCGCACATCCGCCATGTTTGTAGTTTTTTTTAAAAACACGTTTTATTCGTGTTTGTAGTTCTGGACAGAATCCTTCACCAAAGCACAATGGATTGTGGGCAATATTAGCCATTAGAGTGTGCACGGATCCACACTTCAAAAATCGACGTGTGCATGGATCCACACTTCAAAAATCGACCTGAAATAGTAGACCATCCGGGGACTTTTGGCATACTCTTTCAACATACTATGCTTTGGGACACACTTATTTTAATCTCACATACTATTTAGGATGGATAGTATAAAAATTGAGACGCAGGGATAGTATAGGCTTGTTTGAGATGCATCGTCGCTGCGCAGAACGATCGGTGTATGACATCAAAGTACTGCAAGAGCAATTCAAAAGCATAAAGATCGAGTCATTTGCTCTATTAGGGTTCTCGCAGTACTTTGATGTCATATACCGATCGTTCTGCGCAGCGCCGATGCATCCCGAACAAGCCTTATGTCAAGTGATATTTGGTTGGTGCCGTTTTTTTATATTGTGTTATAAAAAAAATCTAATGCATTAATTTAGTAATGCTGATCTAAATGTTCTTCTTAGAATATTGGAGTTATGATTTGGAATAAAATATGATTTGTGCTGTGCGAATCAACACATTCTCAAATGCAAAAAAAAAAGTTTCAAGTGGCTTAAAAACTAGATATTCTGCACATCACTTAATTTAAATGCATCTTTATGGTGAACTGCATGCCAGCAATGGCCCAGTTTAGCTTTGTTGTGTTATGAGGAAATGCATGATTGCATGGAAAATCTGGCCATATATCATTCCTGTGAGCTTTCCTGTGGTGAAAGTTAAAGTGTTAGTTCACCCAAAAATGAAAATTCTGTCATTAATTACTCACCATCATTATGCCGGATCTGGGTCAGCGCCGCCACACGCTCGTATCAGCTGGACGTAAACAACGTATGCTGTTCTGTGTCAGCTGCATCATAGCTGATACTCTCCAAAATAGTACCAGGGTGATCCGGAGGAGACGAATTGTTGAATAAGTCGTTATTTTTTTGCACACAAAAAGTATTCTCATAGCTTCGTATAATTGCGAATGAACCACTGATGTCACATGGATTATTTTACAGATCTCCTTGCTACGTTTCTGGACTTGGGAACATTTCAGTTGCGTTGCTTTCTATGCAGGATCAGACAGCTCTCAGATTTCATTGAAAATATTTTAATTTGTGTTCCGAAGTTGAACGAAGGTCTTACAGGTTTGAAACGAAATGAGGGTGAGTAATTAATGACAGAATTTTCATTTTTGGGTGAACTAACCCTTTAAACATTAACAAAATAGTAAACTGTGGAGGACAAAATAAACATATACCCCCCGTTTCACAAACAAGGCTTAAACCTGGTCCCAGACTAAAAAGCATGTCTGGGATGTTTTAACTGAAAGAAACTTGCAGTGACTGATCTTAAAATCTGTCAGTGCCATTGATTTGTCTCAAGATGCACATCAGTAGTGTATTTATCTAAGGCACATTTATAAAAGCTACTTAAATGTCCTAATTGAACTATGGCCTAATCCTGGTTTAACCTAAACCCTGTCTGTGAAACCAGGCCTTAATCTCCTAAAATTGAGAAGTCTGATGTCATTTAAACATTGTCCAATACAAGTCTGAGCAGGACAAAATTATTAATTAAAAAAAAAAAACATTTAAGCTCCTAAAAGAACTAATTGGAGTAGTTTGATACAATTAGGTTTAATTTAACATTATCCAATGTTAGAGAGAGGACAAAATAAATAGAAACATTTAAACTCCAACATAGAGAATTCTGATGTAACTCATAAGGTTTAATACTGTCCAATACAAGACTGAAGAGGAAAAAAGAAATGGAAACATTTAAACTACTGAAAGAACAAAACAGTTCGGTCACGGTTATATCCACGGGCGCTGCAGATAATCCGCTGGTCGGGTAATAAAAAAAATGCATTCTGATTATTTGCGGGTGGATAAAATAAATCATAAATGCAAATATTAACTACATTTTTTTCATCAGGCAGACGATTCATGCCGCGGCTGGCTGGTATAAACACAAGCATTGACTAGAGCGGCCGCGATCACATCCGGTTCCCGTGGAGCTGTAACGCGCCGCAGACGTGTGCAGTGATGCGCAGATCAGCTCTAACGTCACTGAATCTGCGGTTAAAAATGAACCATCCAGTCATCATATCATCATGCAAAACATACAGGACAAATAG